CCGTGTTTTTATATTGCTTTCTTAATTAAGTTTTCACCTTAGTAAATTTCATTTTGTTGTTTTTAAGTTAAAACTTGCTCCCACCAATCCAAAGAATTCGATTACTTTAACTTGATAACGTTAGGGAACTTAGTGCTTTAATAACAGTCCTCGTGGGAACGATATCCTACCCATCATTTTATTACTTGAGCGACTAGTGCACTTGCTAGTTTTGCATGTTGTAAGAAACACGCATCACCCTACTAACGGAAGACCAAGAAGCCCCAGCTTTGGTGATTCTACCACCGTGCTTTTTTTGGGGGGGTGGGGGTAGGGGAAGGGGACATCAGCTTGGGTGATCAAGTAGCACTTCTAATGGCACATCACCGGCAGCAGTTGGTGTTGGGTTGGGCCTCACCTCATTCTCTCTGACATGGGGATGAGTGGCCCAACAAATTAGGCCCAAAACAACTCCATCTTTTTTTCATCTTCTTCTTCATTATCCAGCAGCTAAAACCTGAGAGAGTGAGTGTTCTCCTCCAGTTGCTATCCTTTCTAGCCAGCCACCATCCAACTTTGTTCCACCATCGTGTATATGTTCGAGAGTGAGGCAAAAACAAGGAGAAACGGAGAAGAAATATCAGTTTTTGGGTCTATGAACAGTGTATCATCAAATCGTGATCTGGAGCTCATTTTCCGTCCGATCGTTCTGATTTTTGGATATGTTGTTCATGAGACACAACTCTACATTCTGAATGGTGGAGATTGGAATCCAAGCATTGCAAGGCAGTCAATTGTGGGGAAACCTGAAACTGCAGTTTCTCTGTCTTTTGGGATTATTCTCTCCATAACATATCTTCTTCAAGTTAATCAAGTTGAAAAGAATCACAGACTCCAAGAGGGGGAAGTCATCATAAGGAAATAAATAAATAAAAGAAGCATCTTGATTGTTGATTGAAAAGGTGGAGAAAGAGAGTGCAGTTTTGAGAAGGTGGAAGCAGAGAACAGAAATCCCGTAACACAACACGGGACGGGAATGGGCCAAACGACTTGCGCATACCCAAGGTTTGCCGAAACGACAAGTTGATACCCAAAAGTTTTTGAAACGACAAGTTGGTACCCAAAATGTTTTGAAACGACAAACAGATACCTTCCGTCATGTGCTGTTAGTGATTTCTGTTTGTTAACAGTAAAAAGACTAAAATGCCTTTGAAGTTTGATATTTTAGTTTTTTAAAAATTTCTAAAAAACCCCCTAGGTTTGCTAATTTAACTAAACACCCCTATATATAAAAAGTTTGTTAAATGACAAAAACACCCCCATCACCTGCGGCCAGATTCCGGCCACCACCGTCGAAATCTGGCCGAAAATTGCGTTACGACATAGACCCCGTCGAATCTGTGTCGTAACGCGTCAATCTGGCCTTTTCCGGCCAGAAGAGGCCAGATCTACGGCCAGATTTGACCGTCAACGCCGCAGATGGAGTTTTGCGGCCATGACGGCCAGATCTAGCCGTAGATCTGGCCTTTTCTGGCCAGACTTTTCTGACCATATCACCCACGGATCTGGCAGGAAAAGGCCAAATCTGGCCATCGAGGCAGCAGCCACAAAAATCCATCTGCTGCCTCGATGGCCAGATTTGGCCTTTTCCGGCCAGATCCGTCGTGTCGACACAGATTCGACGGGGTCTGTGTCGTAACGCAATTTTCGGCCAGATTCTGACGGTGGTGGCTGGAATCTGGCTGTAGGTGATGCCGTGATGGGGGTGTTTTATCATTTAACAAACTTTTTATATATGGGGTTGTTTAGTTAAATTAGCAAACTAAGGGGGTTTTTTAGAAATTTTCAAATTTATAAAAAACTAAAATATCAAACTTTTAAGGGCATTTTAGTCTTTTCACTATAAACAAACAGAAATCACTAACCGCACATGACGGAAGGTACCTGTTTGTCATTTTAAAACTTTTTAGGTACTAACTTGTCGTTTTGATAAACCTTGGGTGTGCAAAAGTTGTTCAGCCCACGGGAATGTGACGAAACTGGAACAACTGAACAAGTTTCCCAAGCAGCAAAAATTAGTGGGCTCCATTAGTTATTCTTCACTTTCCCATACAGTCCTTTGAAAATGAATAATCAAGGTGGCTGGTACATCCAACGGTCAGATATTGTCTACTACAATAGGCCCACTTGAAAATTATTCATCTAATATAAGACCCACTTGCTGTAGCCCAAACCAGGACTCTGATTATAGTGGGTCCACTTGAGGGGGGAAAACAAAGAGACAACTGACAGTCAAGTCCAGGACCCGAAAATGACCCAACAGCTCACGGATCAATTGAAGTCGGTTCCGTACATCAAGATGTTAGAATTCATCAAGTGGTTAATATCAGTCCATATTAATCTAACAGAATAAAGGACCCTTCAATCCCTCCATTAACCTCTCTTTCTTTTTGTGTTAACAAACTAGCAATACGCTCTCTCTCAATAAAGAAAATAAAGGAGACTAAACTTAACAGCATCAATCATCAATTTAGTACTCTAAATTATTTAATAAATAGATATTGAGTACCTTATTAGAAAGCAAATTGAATTATTTATGAAGTCATAGATTACCTACTGTAAACATCAAAATATAATTAAGAACTTTCACTAGACTCAAGTACTATTTATGCCAAATCTAAGGGATGAACTTGTAATTATCCCATTGAACTTCCACCTTTCATTTTCTAATTGGATTTATATCTCTTTATTATAAGTGTCTTTTCAAACCATTGACATAGAGTTGTCTTTTAAACAGGGCGTTCGACTCAGTTTATGTGTACCTCTACTAATCCTTAGGAAAGACTAATGCAATAACTCACTGCTGAGATCCCTCGCTTAAAAGGTAGATGCTCAGATGAGAAATCGAACTTAAGACTATGTGCTTATACACACTTCCTAACCCCTCTTAGAGATATAGAACAAAACTTGTGTTATATACTATATTTTTTACAAGGTGGTTGATCTCATAATTAGATATAGCATTATATCTTGGAAGAAAACATTTTAATAAAAGATACTAGAAAATTCAAAGGAGTTATTTTTCTAACCTCATTACTTTGTAAACATTTGTTTGGTATGATTTATTCAAATATAGCTTAAATGTTTTAATACATAACAAAAAAATCAAGTCAAATTTATAAAATAAAATAAGAATACTTTTGAGAAAAGATCTTATAGGATTTTAAGCTTCTCTCACGAGCTGTAAAATAGCTTATTTAAAATTTATAAGCACGTTTAAAATACAATCAACCAGTCTAAAATATTTTAAAAGTATTTACAACTTTAAATAAACCCTTTTAATTAATAAATAAATCCAATCAAATAGGCTATAAAATAAAGACTGTTGGTATAACCCAAATCGAAAAAGATAGAGACGATGGGCGCGGGCTGGGTCGGGTCCGGGGACCCCATGCCCCGGGCCCGTCCCCGTTACCCTCTCCGAGGACCATCCTTGGCCCATCCCCGCGGGCCGGGATTTTTCTCATGAGCTCCCCGGCCCACGGGGACAAAATCATGACCATCCCCGTCCCGGCCCGATAACTGGGGCTTCGCGGGGATTTATCCCCTGAATGGGGATTTTTGCCCCATGTAAATCAAAACTTTCCGTAAAATTAATTATTTTAATTGTGAAAAACTAATACGTTGATAAGTATTATATTTAACAATTTGACTGTTTAATTTCAATAGTTAATTAACTTAATTCATTAAAAATGCAAAATTTAAGGTAAGAAAATATAAAGTCTAACAATTTCTTGTAACATTTAAATTAAGATTTAAAAAGCAAATTGATATGAATAATTGAATATGGTGAATAACAATTTCTTGGTAAAAATTGGAACATACTCATGGATTTCAAAGCAACAAAATATAATCATCATTCAGGTTACATTGCTACAACTATGCGTCTATGCCATTCACAGTTCAAAAAGCTTGTAAACCATATATTTCCAATTTCTTAACAACTTGTTAAAGTCAAATGTCATCCAATTTCTGAGTAGTTGGAATGATAATCTACTTTCATTAAGTGATTTATTAGATAATCGAAAACTAAGGATCTTAAATACTATTTGAAATTCAAAAGAACTGCAGGGAGGGGCCATTGAACGACTAGAAAAAGCTAGGGCCTATTTACGAAAAGTTAAAATGTTGGATTGCTGCCGCTAGAGTACTCAGACAACTCCAACAAGAAATCAAGAATTAATACAATAATTATATTCAATCTTAACATAATTTATTAGGTAAATTGCTTAGTTATGGAGGCTTAGATTTAGTTAGCCATGTTAATTAATTAATTTTTCGTGAAATTAACATAACTAAATTCAATCTTAACATAATTTACTAGGTAAATTGGTGAATTAATTCATAAGACACTATCTCCGCTATAACTAATAAAATTAGTTCATTTGTGAAAGGGACAAATCCCATTATTTGATTAAGTTTAACATCATATTTAATTGATCAATAAATAAGAACAAGAAATTTCGTAAAATAGTTTGCTTTCAAATTGAACAATGGAACCGGTGAAGAAAGATTGAAGAAGTCTACAGCTGGAGAGCGAGATGAAGTTACCACCTTTAAAACCAAAGGTGCCACTAGCAGAGCTCCAGAGAGAAGGAGAGGCAGAGGCCCTACTAACGAAAGATCAAGGAGCCCCAGCTTTGGTGATTCTACCACCGTGCTTTTTGGGGGGAGGGCATCAACTTTTGCAAGCACAGGAAGTAGCACTTCTAGTGGCACAACGTCAGTTGCAACTGGTGTTGGGTTGGGCTTACCTCATTCTCTCCCTTATGGAGGTGAGTAGTCCAACAAATTAGGCTCAAAACAACTCCATCTTATCTTCATCTTCTTCATTGTCCAGCAGTAAAAAACGTGAGAGAGTGAGTGTTCTCCTCCAGTGGCTGTCCTTTCTAGCGAGCCATCATCCAGAGAGTGAGGCAAAAACAAAGAGAAACGGAGAAGAAATATGAGATTTGAGTCTAACAGTGTATCATCAAATCGTGATCTGGAGCTCGTTTGCCGTCCGATCGTTTCTGATTTTTGGACATGTTGTTCATGAGACACACTCTACTTCTGAACGGTGGAGATTGAAATCCAAGGATTGTAAGGCAGTCAATTGTGGGTAAACCCGAAACTGCAGTTTTTATGTCTTTTGGGATTATTCTCTCCATAAGCCCTGCATAAAGGGTTACACAAAATATGGATTGGATGGAGACCATTTGATAGGATTTTGGATGAGACCACCAAATTACGAAGCAGCAGGACACTTTCTTTGTCCATAAGGTATAAAATGCATTAACTAAAAACTCAACTTCTTTGTGTTTTGGACAGGAGAATACATTTCTGTTGTTCAAGCACTATTGGAAGAGCTGCCTGGAAGTTTCTGACCTACCTGCCATGTACAGGTATCAAACCACTCAATGTTTAAGCAGTCCAAACAAATCTTCAAACAATTTAAATATCACCAATACACAATGAAGAAAGAATCAAGCTGTTTATCCACTTTCAAGGCATCAAATTCACAATGAAGGAAAGCTAAAGCAGAACAATAAGGCTAAAAACAATCTGACCTCAACACACGGAACTTGAGCCGAAATAATGTCTCACAAGCTACATACAAGAAGAATAAAGAGCCCTTATTCTGGAGATTTTATCGAAGTTTGACCCGAATTCTTTTCAGAACTCTGAATATACTGTAAATATAAATCACAAAATGTTAAAAACAGAAATAATAACAGCAGGGAGTGTTATTTTGAACTATAAATTGATGATAGCTAATCAAAGAAAAAGAAATTTGAAGATAAAAAGAATTTTTTTTCATGATCATGATGTTTTATGGTAGTGTATATAAACAATGACTCTAAGTATATATTTTTAAAAAATATATATTATTGAGTACTCAAGTGCTTATGGGAATAAGAAAATCCAAATAAAGTAATTGTTCAGTGAATACTTACCACTTTCCTGTGAAGATGTTGTATAGTAGTATTAAGGTCACCCTCCCAACAGTTTTCATTGTCATACCAAACCTCCTCTCCTTCGTCTAAGATTGGTGTGCTTAAGACTCCTCGAGAGAATGTGTTCATATTGGGGCATTCTTTCACATCTAAGTATTCCAAAAATGGGAATTTGAACGTGTAATTCCCATAGCAGAAACTTGTGAGACTTTTTAAATTATAAAGTAACAATGACTCCAATTTGTCAAAAATAATTTCATTGTTTTCTGTATCTCCCTCATTTGATACTACTTCTGTCATCAGTCTACAATGGCATATTGACATTTCTTTGAGTCGCACCAGACTTTTGGCTATTGAAGATGATACTAAGTTTATCAATCCATCGCAACACTGTACCCACAGTGTTCTTAGATTCTCAAAGGTTGTTGAAGATGGCACTAGATTAATCAAAGTGTGGCAACGATCAACATGTAGCATTTCAAGATTTTGAATACTTGAGTCCATATGAGAGTCTTGTTTCCAAATGTCCTTCAAATTAAAAAGTCCAAATAGCTCCAGTTGTTTTATCTGTGTGAGCATCCCAGCACATTTCTCATCTTCTCCACATGAAAAAATCTCTTTGTATGAACACAATGTTAGTATCATTTTTTCAAGACTGTTAAATCTCTCAAGGACATCCATTGAAAAGTGTGTTGAATCATCCTTAATGATCTGAAGAACTTTCACTTTGGAAAACTGATGTTCTGGAAACTGGTCTTGCCATTTAGATGTGATGACCTCTCCACTTAGCGTGATCAATTCCGAATTGGAGTTAACCTGAAGATCAATCATATAAATCATATCAAAATTAATATTCTCTTTAACATTTCACACGGTATGTAATAATTTTTTTTATATATATTTTTTTAATCAGAAGCAAGCAAAAATTAATAAATAAATAAATAAATATATATATATATATATTAAATGTAGACAAACTAGGTGTGATGCAAATAGCATTGTACTATGTAACTTTAATTTATGTCAAAATCTAATTTAATTTATGTCTAGCAAGCACCAAGCAAAGCCAATGACAAGACAATTAAGGAAATTGTCATAGGTCTCCTCTGAATTTGGACAGGACAAATTTAATGGTAATACAATGAATTTTTATTATTTATTATCTTCAATAAGTTTTTAAACTTTTATGTTTTCAATATTTATGAATTTTAGGTTATGCAGAGGTCTTGTGTTGGACTGAGCTAAAAAAAAAAAAAAAAAAAAAAAAAAAGACTATGAGATAGATTTTACACCAAATAATTTCGGATGATGTAACTCATACTTATTATATTATCACGGATAGCAATAATAGCATAACATTTCAATTTACTATTATCTAGAGCAGATAATTTCTTGTAATTTCTCTATGTAATCTTGAATTATAATAATTCTAAGTATTTTTGCCCACTCAAGGTGAAAAAGTCCACATGCACTCATATATAGCTCACCATTCGCCTTAAAACGCGGCGTTTCATTCCAAATGACAACACAGCCATTTAGAAAATTGCTGAGGGCACCTAAGTAATTTAAGAGACAAACAACCCTCCTATATATAAAGGCGAAATCTCACTCAAATCCCTAACCAGCAGCCCTATTAGGTGAAATAAATCTACTTTTCCTCAAAATCTATTGGTAGAGAAGAGAAGGTGCGGTGATGAAGAAGTAATTAATCTCGTTAATTTGAGATTAACATGAAGATAATCTCTCTATCCATTCTCAAATATACTGAGCACTTTCTTTTCCTCTTCCCAAACTTCTTTCATCCATTTTTTTTTTTATCAACATTGAACCTCAAATGAAATATCAATTTTTCTATTGAATTGATGGTAGGTCGTATCGTTGATGATGTAGCATTTCACAGAGTAGAGAATGAATTACCTTTCATTTTTTGGGTTTTATTGTATTTTTTAAAATATAAATTTTGAATGTAGACAAACTAAGTGTCATGCAAATAGCTGTAACTTTAATTTGTGTCAAAATCTAATTTGATTTAGCATGAAATGGACAGGACGAATTTTTCATGGTAATACAAAGAATATTTATTATATTTACAATATATATTTTATTATTTATTATCTTTTATAAGTTTTTAAACTTCTAAGTTTTCAATATTTATGAATTTTATTTACATTTAAATTTTAAATTTTAATATATATTTTTTTTTATTAATAAACTTGAATTATACTGCCAACGATTCAAGTTTGTAGGGGAATAAGAAAATCAAAGAAAAATAATTGTTAACAGAATACATACCTCTCCTTTGTACATATGTTGTATAGTTGTATTAACGTCACCTTTCCAACACCATTCATATTTATCCCACTCTTTTTGTTGAACTTTCAATAAACTTGGTGTGTTTAAGATTCCTCCAGAGAAAGACTTCATCTTGGGACAATCATGCACAATTAATTCTTTCAAAGATGGGAAGTTCAATGTGTATTTCCCAGGGTAGAAGCATGTGAGACACTCTAAATGGCTTAGTGACAACCTCTTCAATTTGTTGAAAACAATTTCATCTTCTACTATCACATCCTTCTCATTCGATACTATTTCTATCATCAATCTGCAATATTTTATTTCCATTTCTCTCAACTGTACTAATTGTTTTGCTAGGGATGACGTGACTATGTTTATCAATCCTGCGCAGAAACTTACTCTCAAAACTGCTAAATTTTGGAAAGATGCCGAGGATGGTAGCACATTTATCATTCTGTCACAGTTAAATATTACTAGAACTTCAAGATTTTGAAGAACAACGTCTAGTTTGAAGTCATTCCTCCACAAGTATTTCACATCAGAAAGATTGCTCAACTCCAAACTTTTTATTTGTACCAATGTCTCCATACGTTTCTCATCCTCTCCACATGTGAATATTTCCTTGTACGAACCTCCTCTCAGTGCGAGTTTTTCCAAATTATTCAATCTTTGAAGGATGCCAACCGGAATATTTGTAGATCTATCGTCTTTGATCTCATTTTCTGTTACTATTCTAAGTACTGCACTTCTGCTGAAGAAGTTTTCTGGAAACTGCTGCTGCAATGTTACCATGTCGTCCAATCTGCTTAATGTTAATTCCTCCAAATTGGAGTTAATCTACAGATCAATTTGACAAAATCAAGTTGAAGTTGAAACTCTCTCAAACAATTCAACGCATAAATATCAAGTAATCTTTATATAAATGAGCAAATTATTTTGAATCGATGCATTGGTAAAGAAAAAATTAAAGATATATTTATTTAACAAGATATGTTTATTTTTTATGTTAGTTAATTTAGAAAAAAATTAAAGAAGGAAAATGACACTTACATTTTGGACCAAGAAGAGGGCTTGTTGCTCCCAAATATCAAGTTGACCCTTATTGTTTTCATGGAAGCTCATATATTCTGAAGTGAATATTTTTATTTTGTCACAATTACACACCACCAACTTCTTTAACTGTGGCCATTCAGAAGTATGAACTCCAGGATAAAAATTTGCGAGTTCTGGTAAGTCTTCGAGTTGTAGGAAGGTTACTCGTGGAAAGATAAATGTAGGAGTTGCTTCTGCTCCTTTTCGAATAATCTCCTTTAAAACCCTACAATTGCGTACCTCAAGGTGTTCAAGCCGCTCAAAGCGTGCCACAGAAGATGAAAATACAAATTTTAGTTTTTCACATCCAACCACAATCAAGCGTTCCAAGTTTTGATAGCAATGAGATATTGTCGCTAGTTGACTATCCCATATGATTTCAGAATTAACTGAATGCAGTTCTATGGCCTCCAAATTGGGGACAATAACCTGCACATAAAGTATTTTTGGTAAAATGATACAAAAAACATTTGTAAATCTTAAAAATATATGCAGTACTAGGTTTATTTATTATATTTTTTTTCTTTATTTATTGTCAAAAAGATTTTCAAAAGATTTTTTAAATAAATTAAAAACAGAATTATGGTTTTGTAAATTAATGCGCTCTTGTAAGACAAAAATTATTATTTTTTCTTATTATTATTAAGATAGAAAAAGGATCGTACCTTATATTCTGAAGTGAATATGTGCAGTCTATGACAATTACACACCTCCATCTTCTTTAACATTGGCCATTCTGAAGTGTGTTTACTAGGGTAGAAAGTTGTAAGTTCTGGCAAGTCTTTAAGTTTTAGGAAGGCTACTTGGGGAAAGATAAATATAGCATTTGCTTCTGCTCCCTCTTCTTTGGCAACAATCTCCTTTAATTCCTTACAATACCTTATCTCAAGGTGTTGAAGCTGCTCAAAGCTTTTGATTATCGGAGATGGAAATACATATTTTAGTTTTTGACAGCCACGCACAATCAATCTTTTCAAATTTTGATAGCCACAAGATATTGTCGGAAGTTGGTTGTCCCATATCTTTTCAGAATTGATTGCTCCAAGACTTAAGGCCTCCAAACTAGGGAAAACAACCTGCTCAAAAGTGTTGATTTTTGTTTCAGTATTTTACCATATGAAGCCGAGAAACAATAGTATATGACATGCAATTAATGTTATAAAGCTCTCTTTTGTGTATCAGTCATGGAAATATTTATCACAGTATGCCATCTGATAAGACAGCATACTATATAGGCACACAAATTGTATCTCCAAAGTTAGTTTTAAATGTCTAAACATTGACAAGAAATATTTAGTAAAGAGATTTAACTGAAATTTTAAATCACAACAAGGATTGAGCAAAAGGATAAGAATAATATAAAGAAATATAAAATACATAAAAGATGAGTACAAGGTTATAATAAACCAAATTACCTTTTTGTTAAAAATTGGTGTGACAGTATCAACTAGCTCATCCTCAGAATAGATTTCATTGGACTGCAAATTAATTGATGATTCCACCTGTCTGGTTTGCAATGTTGAAGGTGTATTTGCTACTGAGTAGAAGCTTGCAATACTTGGAAGATTAAACAAAGTCAAGAAGCGTAATTGAAAGAATTCAATCTTATCAAACACTTCATTCTTGTTTACTATGTCTTCTCTTTCAACAGCAAAAATCACATTCATATTCTCGCAGTCTTACACCCTAATTCTTTGAAGTTGTGGAAGGCTTTTGCTGGCATTGGAGAATGAGAAGATAATTAACAATTTAGCACAACTTAGCACTTCTATAACTTTTAAGTTGTAGAAAGACTTTGTTGTGGGTTGACCATAACATATAATTTAAAAGTTAATCAAATTGAAAAGAATAAAAGACTCCAAGAGGGGGAAGGCAACAGAAGGTATGCAACTTGTTGAGTCAACAATGCACATGATGTTAGAATTATTATGGACATGGAGATGTTTCAATTGTGAAAAACCCTCCTTGTGTAATTCATAAACATCATTCTTGATACCCTCCAATTTGTCTAAGCATAAGAATTCAACATTCTTGAAGCACTGAAAATGCTCAGGCCAAATTTTTATGACAGAAATGAATTTCAATTTCAACATTCTTAATGTGGCATGCTCATCATAAGAAAAGCTCTAAATACGCATAAAAATCCCAACATCACCAATAATGTACTACAAACCAAAACTAGAAAACAAATCTCCTATTGATATTTTGTAACTTTCCAACTTTTTGGAAAACAAGTCATATGGCAAAAACTTATCATCAGAAATGACTATTTCTAAAGCTGTCAGTTGAGACAAATAATTCAACACCTCAAGTCCTTCAACCTTCCATAGAATAGAGCATCCACTCATATACAATTCTTCCAATCGCAATAAGCATGATATAACATTTGATGCGATAACTTTTAGATTCCAACAATTACTTAAATCTAACAACCTTAGTTGAGTCAATTTACCTATTTCTCTTGTCAATTCCCTAATCTTAGAATGTTGCAAGCTAAGAATTTTCAGTTGTCTCAACTCTCCAATAATTGCTATATTTGCAAAATTGCTATAATTTAAACATAATGTTTGAAGATTAAATAGAAGACTAAGAGATGACGGCAAGAACAACACCTTCATGTTAAGTAAACTTAGAACTCTGAGGTTACCCATCCCTACAAAAAATTTCTCAGGGATTTAGAAAGAAGAAACCATCATCACCATACTGAAAAATTCAAGTTTTGGACAATCCAAACCTTCAGGCCAAAGCTCACTAATCACACTAGTATCAGCTAGCGAGATTTTTGAGCACATTTTCAATTCATCTGTATTACTCCATTCTCTCTCCATGTTGTTTCGCTCAGTAAATACATGTTGATCTTTATATGCAATTGTTATGGCAACTGCACGAACAACGTCATGCATAGAAAAATGTTCATTGTTTCGCCCATCAAGTAACAAACAGGAGTCCTTGAGTTCACAGACAAGACTTTCTAGTCTATTTCGCGCTTGTTCCATTGTACAAATAACTCCTTCAAGAATATCCAAGCCCATAATGTATTTGAACAAGTCTGAAATGGTAGTATCATTTACCATTAGACTACAAACTATAAAAGTTCTCTTGAGTTCATCATCTTTTAGATAATTGTAACTCAATGCTATCTTTGAGTATCCCTTTTCCAGTAACTTTGCAAACTTTGTGGGGGAAGGCATTCTCAGTTCTCGCAAAGCATCTTCCCATTGAGATGGACGTCTCTTATTCCTTAATGCTCTTGCTATGGTAGTAATGACAATTGGCAAACCTTTGCATTCCTTACATACGTTGTTCGGCAGATGATTCCGCTTAATAATTGTTTGATTAACAACATCACCTGCAGGGGGAGTTGGATTGCTGGTCAAAGGGGCAAAAATATATATTGCATATGTTATAAATGTTTCAAAATTACTTTTGAATTTGCTATGCTAACTTTAGATAGTACATTATGTGCTTAGATAAAAAAATAATTGTTATATTCATTTATCAAATTGACGGATATGTAACAAAGTATAAAGTGAAATTGAGCAACGAAATTTGGCGCATTTATTTATTTATTTTCCATGTAAAACCATAAAAGGTAGTAAAATTTATATGTTCATAAATCCAAATTAATCAAACTTTTCCTACAGATCTGGAGGGGCCAAGAATATGATATAAGTATTAAAATTGTGAAAAATAATAAAATATGTAAGAAAATGTGAAAATTCTGTAGCTTTGATTACCTGCCATCTTTTTAAAAAGGCTCCAAGCTTCTTCTTCAGGTAAAAAACCCATTGGGAAACACTTCACAGAATCCATACTCGTTAACACATTAAGATCTCTTGCTGTCAGCAATACTTTACATCCCCCGCGATCATCTCCACAAGGAATTCCGAGAGCCTCCAAATTTAATTGTTCCCAGATATTATCCAAAATTACAAGGATTTTCTTACCTGTCTTCAATCTTGCATACAACATGCTTGCTCTTTCTGCCTCCGGCTCAAATTTCAGAAGTAACTGATTTGCTAGTTCATCTTGAATCTTTTTAGGGTCTGGTTCATCAGATACCTCCACGAAAACCACTTCATCCAAGAGCTGTTTTTTCTTGGCTTGCTGACCGACTTCTTTGACCAGCGTGGTTTTGCCAATGCCACCCATTCCGTAAACCCCGATAATGCCCACCTCAGCATCTTCTACAGCGTTCAACACATCATTCAAAGTTGAGCGTCTTGATTCAAATTCCTCGTAATCTCTGTTCTTAAGCCGAATGTCTTCATGAGTGGTAGGAAGGGAAACTTCACTGAATGTTTCTTTTTCCTGCAGGAATTCAGTTACAGCGTCCACCTTCTTCGATGCTTTCCTGCTATTTTTGTAACAGGTGATCAAGTTGAAACATCGGCTGTTTGTTTTCTCTTGAATCAACTGCTCTGCTTCAACAATGATGGAATCCACATCCCTCTGCCAGTCTTTAACCTGCTGTTTGATCTTTTTCACGTTGTTTTGAGCCGCAACAACCTTATCCTTCACCTCATCCCTTGCATCCTTGAGCTTTCCAATTTCTTTTTCAAGATCGTCAAAGTTGCTTTTGTAGTTGTAGAAGTACATAAATTGACGCCTTACAGGAGCAGCTAAGCCCTTTCCAACTTCTAAAACAGCATTCCCTGCAGCTTCTTCCATTCTCAACCCCTTTTCCTTTTTCCTTCCTTGGAGAAAATAGAGCTGAACAAAATAATAATAATAATAATAATAATAATAATAATAAAATTCAAACAAAACAGAGAAAACAACGGGACAACTAGGGAACAAAATCACAATAACAGAAAAATAGTGACAAGGAAAATATACCAGCGAAATTTAGATGCAAAAAGTGGATAGAATCGGATTACAAGTTAAAATATGAAGTGATTTGGATATTATTGCTTACTGAAAGAGAAGCAGGGGATCCAGAAAAAGGGGAAGGAGTGAAAAATCTAGTGATCAACAATCACAGTAAAAGTATGTTCAAGCAAATACAAGGAAAGATCTGGTTTTGGACTTTGTTTGGGGCGACTTAGTAGAAGAAAATGCAAAAGAAAAGCATACTCAGAGATGTCTATAACAGAGGGTTGAAGTGATACAGGCAATTTGTGAATTGTGAATTTGTGATCTCATGTGCTCACTAGTAACATTAACATGTGTGTTGAATGGTTCAAAACCAAAGATAATTTTATTCAAATTATTTTGAAAGACTCAAAATGTTTTGTTAGTCAACAAAAAGACAACAAAGAAAGCGACATTCCAACGAACTTTCTGCATTATTCAGCAGATACCATTAAATCACTAAACCTATAAAAGTACAGTAAAGCAAAGAAATTCACCAAAAAATATCAAATATTAATTGAACTGTTTCTTGCTTTTCTTTGGTAAATATCAAAAGTAAAAGTCTTCTTAAGCCAGCTGAAAAAACAAAACGTTGAAAGTAACAAGGCACTAATCATGAACATTGTTAAGCAGAGGTGCTGTGAGAAATCAGTGAAAAACAGAGGAGTTTAAAGAAGCCGGGGTCTTGTTTGTAATTATTGTATAAGCTGCATGTACTAAGTGTAATTTCTGAATCTAAAAGCACTGCCGTTTCAATTGGCTATATAAGTGCTAATGTACTGTAACAGAAATTAGTTAATAAAAATTCTCAATCAGTCTTTCTTCATTCTCCAGTAGCTTCCTCTGCACTTTTCTTCTGCATTTTTTGTTTCTTAGTTTCTTTTTTTACCTCTTCAAATCTTTCATGGTATCAGAGCCCTAGACCAACGTCCAAGGGAAAAAATTCATCCTCGATCTTGAATATTCTTGACAGTTTTAAACATGGAGGCTCATAGCTCCAGTTCAAATCTCACTCCTTCAGGAGTTCCACCCAACCTACCTGTCGTCTCTGTAAAACTGCTAGAGAAGAACTATTCGTTCTGGAGATCACAGATTCTGCCGGCCCTGATATCTCATGGTCTCGAAGGCTTTGTTACTGGTGAAAAAGAGTGTCCACCGATGATCTTGTTAGAGAAATCTACTGACACAGGACAGACAAAGAAGAAACAAAACCCTAGCTACCTCACTTGGAAGAAGATTGACCAATTCTTGGTAAGCTGGCTTTACTCCTCAATCTCTGAATCCATGTTTAGGCATGTAGCAAAATGCACTACCTCATATGAAATATGGAATGTTTTAGAGCTGCATTTCCAGTCGGTATCCAAAGCTAGGACCTTACATCTGAGAAACCTACTACAGATTACTAAGAAAGAAGGTTGTAATGTGAGTGAATATGTGTTGAAAATGAAAGAATTAGGAGATGAATTGATAGCAAGTGGAGTGAATATCACAGATGAAGAACTTTTGCTGTATATATTAGACGGCTTAGGGCCAGAGTATGATGCTGTTGTGGCAAATCTGACAGCTTGTAGTAGTCAAACGACATTACAAGAAGCCCAATTCTTACTTCACAAACATGAGATTAGGTTGGAGAGACAGCAAAGTTCTTTGTCAAATTTTCATGAACACATGGCTTCAGCTCTTTTGGCTTCCAAACAGTCTCAGATAGAGTCCTCTTTAGGTTCTCAGAATGTTTCTGGTGCTAGTAATGGGAATTTTCGTGCTCATAATTTCACTACTCCTCAGTTTCAATCAATGCCTAATTTTCAACCTTCAGATCAGAATTTCATTCACCAACAGATGCCTAGTAACAACCATTCTAGAGGAAATAGTTTAAACAGTGCAGTTCACTCGAATTTTAATCCCTCACATTCCTCCCAATACTCACAGACTGGATATGGTTTTAACCCTGGGAACCAGTCTCACATGTTTCATGCTGGAATGATGAGAAGTAGAGGCAGAGGAAGAGGATATTTTAGGCCTAAACTAATCTGTCAAGTATGTGGTAAGGGACGACACACAGCACTGCAGTGCTATCATAGATTTGATCATGAATATCTAGGTTTCTAAGTCCCTGGATCAGTATCTGGATCTACTAGTTTCAATGGTTTCTCAATACCTGGATCTACTGGTTTTAATGGAACTACTGGTTTTAATGGTTCACAAAGTTCTACTCCAGATCACTCTACTGAGTCAGCACAAGCTCTTCTTACTACAGTCATGCTAGGGCAATTCATTCCCAGGACTGCTGTTGAAAATCCTAATCCTGGAAATTCTTTTTCATCCATAACCAATGCTCCTACTGCACAGACTAATACACCACAAAACTACCTTGGTTATCCTTTACAACATTCTGTTCCTTAGCTATCTCAGAATTCTGTTTCATCAGTAGCTGCTCAGCATATACCAGTTGCTTCTCCTCACACTGTGCAAGACCAAACATGGTATGTGGACTCTGGTGCCACAAACCACATGACAGCTGATGTCAACAATCTGATCATTAAAGACAACTATCAAGGTGGCTCAAATGTGCAGGTTGGAAATGGCCAGACAGTACCTGTCTCACACACAGGTGAGTCTTTTCTAACTTCTGGTTCTACTTCTAGATTGTTGCATCTTAGAAATATGATGTGTGTACCTCATATAGCAAAGAATTTACTAAGTATTTCACATATTACAAAGGATAATGGTGTAATAGTTGAATTTCATGTTGATCGTTGTCTTATTAAGGATAAGAACAGCAGAGATGTACTCCTTCAAGGTGTCCTAAAGGATGGCTTATATCAACTGGAAGCCTCTCTTCCTGCTGTGTTTTCACCTTCTAGTGTATCTACTCCAACTGCTTCCTGTAATGTGGCTGCCTCTACTACTCTCAATAATAGGTGTAGTCATAATAATAATACTACTGATGTATTACATAGAGTGCAATCTGATGTAATTGCTAATTATGATGTAGCTGATAAGTCAATAATGGTGTGGCATGCTAGATTGGGACATCCCCAAGAAAGAACTCTTAAGCATGTATTAAATAAATTGCATGTACCTGGATTGTCTACCTATAATAAAAGTTTTTGTGAAGCCTGCCAATTTGGCAAATTGGCTCAGACTTCTTTTCCTTTGTCAAATTCTAAGACTTCCAGGCCACTTGAATTGGTTTATTCAGATTTATGGGGCCCTGCACCAGTATGCTCTACAGAAGGTTTCAAATATTATATGTTGTTTGTTGATGATTACAGTAGATACATGTGGATATACCCTTTGAAACTCAAGTCTGAAGCCTTTAAGGTGTTTACTAGTTTTCATGTGTTTGCTGAAAAACAATTAGATGCTACACTGAAGAATCTTCAAACTGATTGGGGAGGGGAGCTCAGGTCTTTTACTTCTTATCTGGAAACTCATGGCATAGGTTTTAGACACCCCTGTCCCTATTTACATCAACAGAATGGGAAGGTGGAAAGAAGGCACAGAACAATTACAGAATTTGGTTTAACTTTGTTAGCACATGCAGGAATGCCTTTATCTTTTTGGTGGCAATCCTTTAGCACAGCAGTGTTCATTGTTAACAAACTGCCCTCTGTTGCTCTTGAAGATGTCTCACCATATCAGAAACTGTTTGGTAAAGAACCCACATATACTGATCTTAGGGTTTTCGGCTGTTGTTGCTACCCATACATACAACCCTATCAAAAACATAAGTTTTCTTATCACACTGAGCAACGTGTGTTTATTGGGTATAGTCCAGCTCATAAGGGGTTTAAATGCTTGTCTTCCAAAGGAAAGATATATATTGTTAAGCAAGCCAAGTTCAATGAAACAATGTTTCCTTTTAAACATGATTTCAAGTGTATGCAACTGACAAATCTGGATCTTACAGGGGTATCTACAAACACCAGTTCTGAAGGGTTTTGTTCATCCTAGAACCTTGCTCATTGTTTAGATTCAAATTATGTTTTTGTCACTAATAATAATGTGTCTTCTACTGCAGAAGTAAATACAACTTCACTGGCTGCTGATGCTACTAATTCACAGTTGTCTAATGAAAAACCAGGTGGAGATTCATTATGTGGAAAGGGTCTCTTGGCACATGACTTAACAGAAGTTATAAACTTACCTACTACAACAGCATCAAGAGGTTCAATGAGACCTGTTACTGATATTGTCCCAGTTTCAGAACCTGATGTTTCTAATTTTTTTGGTGATTCTTCTTTAAATACAGCAGGTACTTACACTGCTTCTGATCAACCTTCAGCTCCCGGAATACACTTGGAGGTTGTCTTACCCATCTCTCAGAACAATGCAGCAATGTCAGTACCTCCAGCACACACCAATGCTACTACAAACTGTCATCCAATGCTCACCAGATCAAAAACCAGGAATAACCAGATTATAAGTCAAGCTTTTCTGGCCACAACCTCNAAAAAAAAAAAAAAAATGTTGAAATCCATGGATTTTGGAAAATCCACCACCCTCTAGAATCCTTCATTTTTTAGGGTTTTAAAATCCCACTTAGTTGGTGGGATTTTGCCAAATCCATCAATTTTATTGAGAATACAAAATGAACTCAAACAACAAACAAAAATGCCAGATTCTGGACTGCTTGTGACTCTTACTCTCCAATGAACTGAAGCTGCAAAATTCAGTTATGCTTCCTGCCCAAAGTCAAGTTGCATAGGTTGATAAGCAAGTTGATCAACTTGCTTAACAAGTTGATCTCCTTCCCGAAAAAATCAACGGCTGTCATGAACTCTTTGTTTTTCTGTTTTTAGTTCAATGGTTGAGATTGTCTTCCATAGTGTTCAACCATTTGTAGTATAAAAGAACGTCTCATTGAACTTGAGGGATTAATGAAAAGCAATCGCCATTTTCTCTATCCTTTTAATTTTCAATTTTGCTCTACAATTTAGATCACCAAAATTTTTCACTCTAAATAGAGTTTCACATGGTATCGGAGCTGTAAAAGACTAACATCTAATATGACAAATCTTGATCAGTCAACTCTAGTCATCAAAAGCAACAACAACAACCAATTCTCGAGCTTAGCTTTTTTAGTCATGGTGTCACTTCCAACTATTACTGTCAAATTGGGAGAGAATAACTACATTTACTGGAAATCTCAGGTTTTTCCTGCCCTTGTTGCTATGAATTGGATGGATTTGTAACTGATGAAAAATCCTATCTTCAATACTATCCTTTAAAGAAATCAAATGAACAAGAACAAGAAAGTAATCAAATTAACAATGAGTAT